GTGGCAGTGGACCTGCCATGGACGCCAAAGCTGCAGGGCTCCCCGGCCACCGGGCAGAGGCTGCCCCGACAGGTTCCCGCAGCGTGGCTGCTCAGAGCCCCCCGCAGGCCCACCCTCCCCTGCCTCTGACAGAGACAGGCACATCAGAGGCAGAGCTCGGTGCAGAGATAAGGGGGAGAAGCTTTAAACATTGCCAGGTCAGCACAACAGGAGGTAAGCAAGTACAGAGGCAGCAAGAACTGCTGAAAGTTTTTGATATAGTCCCAAGTGGACTCCCCAATGCCTGTAAATGTTTCAAAGGGGGATCCCCTTTCTGTGGGTATGGAAACGTTTCAAAGGAGCCCCAATCTGTGCAATGTTTCAAAGACCACTGGCCTCTAAAAATTCCAACCCGAACTCCCCTCCCCAGCTGAAAACCTCCCTAAACAGATTCCTTCCTGGCTAACCCCAGCTGAGGAGGTCTGTTCTGCCACACAGAGCCCTCCTACAGGCCCCAGCATCAGCTGAAACAAAACATCTCCCGTTTCCCTCCTCTGGGGATGGATCCAGCCAGCTCCTTCCCTGGGGACCCCGTGAAGGACCCAATGTGCCTCTGTGTTTGTGCACAGGATATGAAGGCCTAGAGTGCAGCAGGGTAATTTTTCAAAGCAGTGTGTGGGAGTAGCACTAGAAATTCCCTTCATACTGCTTTGAAAAAAATCAACCCCCCTACCTCTATGAATTATGAACAGGGCCTCCAGCTCCAGACTGGGAATCTGAGAGCTTGAAGAGGGATGCACAGCCAACTTAACTGGATGCAGTTTTTAAGACCATGATGTCAGAAATAATTGAATTCTTTAATCATATTACAGACACTGCTACCTAAAAGATATCACTGCTACAGAGCAGGGATTCCTTTGCTGACAGTCACTTGAGCAGAATAAAACTGTAAGCAAGTGCTTAAGATATCTCAGCTATTGATTTTGTGTTTCTCAAAGTATGAGAAAAAAGTGCTGCTGAGTCTTGGATTATCAAAGCCAAGGGATTTTTTACCTAAAAATTACATGTCAAGACTAACTTCATTGTCTTGGCTCTCCTCAAATTCAAAAGAGAGATAAAAATCTCTCCCTGGAAATGCTTATCTTACTCAAACTCTTATCTTAGATTGGTATCAATCATTCATTTTCCCTGGACAGCATCTCAATGACTATATTAAACCAGACACCTAAATTTTAGACAGATACAAGTTCATTGAGATGAGGCCAGCCCTAAGCTCCTGAGGACACACAGTCTGAGGGTAAGTTCCTTCTGTCTCCCAAACACCTGTATGTTCACCCTGAGATCTCAGTGTCCCACCTGCACAAACAAATCCTCATCTGTAGATTTTAAATTGACAACAATGACATTAATAATTCCTGTGAACTAGACCTGGGCTACAGACACAGCTATATTAGCTTCTTTCTCTTGCTGCCCATCTGGCTAGACTTGGTCTAACACAGAGAAGGAAAACTCTTTCACCCCTTTATCAGTGATAAACCAGCCTAAGCAATAAGGAGGCATGTGCAACTCTGTCCTAAGGCCTGAGTAAGGCAGCAAAGTGCTCAGGCTATGACCAAGGGGGAGAGGAGCAAGCACAGAAGGCAGTTAGTCACTCTCCCTACTGTTACCATCCTAGGACTATGTAAATTAACACCAAAAATCTGCACAGCATTTGTTGCTTAAGAAATGCTGATATGTAGCCTCCCCTTTTCCCTTCAGTATTTCCCAGTAAAGAACAAATATCAGTGAGCAAACTCACTGAAAACACCTTTTTTGTGAGCAGTTGTATGTCCTGAAGGAGAGGGGGCCCAGAAGTGTTGTGAACTGAGATGCCCAGAGCGAGAGGAAGTTTGGCTTCATATTAAAGGTTTCTACACATTGCTTTTTCCTAAACTGTGCCATTAAAAGCAGTGATGGCCTTAATACACACACCTCAGCAAAGGGACATGAAGATATGACACCACAGTGGAACTATCACATCTTTTCTTACCACACCCTGGTATTTACAATGTTCTAGGTGTATAGAACTGGGCCCATAGCACTTTTGTACTATATGGAATTCTTCCAAATACTACAAATTATCTGATGTACAGCTTCAAGGAAACAATGGGTACAGTTTTCACAAATAAGAACACCACAATTTTCACAGCCTCCAATGCCTTCTACACCTGTTGTTTTCCAATGGTGCTAAGAACTTTGTAAGGTCATGTGTATAATTGTATATTATTCCAGACAGCACTAATATGGGCATATACGTAAATATATTTCACATATCAGTTACTGGAAATGAAGAAATTACATTTTTCCAAAAGGAAAAGACAGTTCCCCTCAAAACAAGAATATCCTTAATTCAGCATTTCATGACCTTTGTATTTAAAAATAACTTATTAGCTACTGGATCACAAATTAAGTTGAAACAAGCTAAGCTTGCTAAGGACTTCTTTCTCAAAATCTAGGAGGGAGCTACATGAAATCACCATGGTCCAATTAACAAGGATCTCACTCTTCAAGCTTGCAAACAAGAGATTACATTAACACCTGCTACAAAAGCAAACACTTTTAGATATCTTTATCTTAACCTGCTTGACATTAACTTAAAACTCCTGCCTGGCTCTTGGATGAAAATTATTGTGACTGATATGTATGTTTTTCATTTGGGGGTAGGGGTTTGAAGAGTGTGTCAGTCCACATTTCTCTCTCTCTGGTATTTATGCATAATCCACTTCAAAGCTAATAAGAGTTACATACCAGAATTGATGGGAGAATAATTTCCTAAATGTAAAATTGCTGAAGGAAAACCATTATACATATGGGAGATAAATGCTGCATAGGAATGTATGAGACACAGAGAGCACTGTCAGGTCCTTGAAGGATCTCATCCAGCACATGCCTACAGTGGCATGTGTAAGTATCTTATTGTGGTCTGTGCACCAAAATAAACTGACCTCTTGGGCCAATACATATATTTATAACATCTGTTCATACAGGAAAAAACCTTTCTTTGTGTTCATCAGAGAAGCAATCACAGCTGCAGAAGTACAACCCATCAGGTTACAGCAATTCTTTTACTACCTCCTGTGACAGAACTGTCACAAAAGGCAGAAAGCACTGATTTTTAAAACACTTGCATGTCTGAAAAGCTGAACTTTCTGAAGTCCAGAATTGTTGGGAAAAAAGCCACTGAAATAACTCTGTAAGTGTTTTGTTTTGACAATGTTCCTCAGGAATTCACCACACTTAGCTGGGAAAATGCTAGCAGTTACATCTATTCAATGTCATGACATACAAAATTGAAACATAATTGCTCCTAAGTGGTTGACAACTGGCAAGTACTTTTCACACAGATAGAGAGAAATTTATGCTATCAAATGGAAGATACTGTCAAAAGTTTGATTTTAATATAAATGAAAATGCTACATGAGGACTCATAAGGAAAACCCTCAGCAGTAACACTTTTACAACCACATATTTAAAAAGCTTTGAAGTGAAGAATCATTACATCAAAATCATTTTCCTTTAAAAACAAAAAAATTAATTACATCATGAATATTAACAAGTTAATAGAATAGTGAATGTCAAAGAATAGCAAAAAACAAGCAGCCAATGAGTGGCCTAGTGTAAAGAATGTCTTACCAATCATATGGTTAGCGACATGGATTTGTATCTCTCTCTCATTCTCAAAGGTCATCTGGCACTTGATGCACTGATAGGTCTTTTTCTGTTTAATAACCAAAAAGAGATTAGAGAAAACTGCACTGTAGCATAAGGCAAGTGTGATCATGAATACAGCATGTTATATGCTTCAAATTTTCTCCACTGAGGCTTTTTTTGCCCATATATCCCCAGGCCAGGCTTTTCTGGGACTACAAACACAATCTCTAATTAACAACCTGCTTTAAGAGAAATTTTCATTTCAACTTTAAAAATTTCAAATAATACTACTTGAAAATCCGGCTGAGTACCTGAGCCAAAATTATTTTATCCCTGTCATTTAACCCATTGCAGTAAAATTCTCCCAGAGTGAAACAAAAGACAGAAAAATAACTGTTTTCAGAGTAAGATCAACTTTTTCAAAAAATTCCAGCTTTTATTAAGCTCAGCATAGAGTAGGCAGAGCACCTACAGTTACTTGGTGAAGTGAAGGAAATAATGCATTTTGTATTGGTCTCTAATCAGAAATCTTGAAAAAAACTCCATTACCACAAAGAACTGTTTCCTGGCAAAATCTATTTTCTCCATCTCAAAGTCATACCAGGGAGGCCTAGCAGCAGAAGTCAGGAGAGAGTGTGAAGAGGCAATTACATGAACCATTTATTCAAATGGAAAATGGGGTTTGCACTCAGATTTACAGTAATGCCTGTACTTGTGCAACATGGCAGGAAAAAATCCAAGAAACCATTTGCAGAAATTAAGATGTACGTTGACAAGTTGGACATCCAACTCCAGGAAAAAATAAAAACCAACAAAAAAAAAAAAAAAAAAAAAAAAAAAAAAAAAAAAAAAAAAAAAAAAAAAAAAAAAAAAAAAAAAAAAAAAAAAAAACCAACAACAAAAAAAAATCATGAAGGCTAAGCTTTTGTATACTTGCAAAAAGTCTTTATTTCCCAGAGCAGGAGTATGTATGATGCTTTGGTTTGATGTACATGCTTATTTACTGCATGGCAATATGCTATCTAAGTAGACATTTTTTGATGTGCAATTTAGAAAAATTGGGCCTTTTGTGCCTACTTGTTTCTGGAGAATAATTCCTACTGCAACATTGCCACTAGACACAAGCATGAAGACTGCATCCCATGGCCAAAGCTGGTGGCAGAAGAACACACATGAAATCTCTGTGTGCTGGCCACAAGGGATGGATGGGAACCCCAAATCAACAGCACAGAGAAGCCCAATTCAGTAAACGACACCCTCATAACCTTTTGAAGGAAAATAGTTTTGAGGGTACTTTTTGTGTACTTTTAGATTACTTTTTCTTCAGCCTCCACCCCACACCCAGGTATAGAACCCCATTTTTAGGACAGAAGTAGTAAGTCAGAAGTTTTGAGTTAAACAGAGGAGTTGCTGTCACCCCCTCTGTGTGTGGAATCCAATTTCCTCAAGCACCTGCTGAGAAAAGAACAAATTAGGTGCTACCAAGAGTTTAACTACTTCCCATGTCATCAATGGCAACAAGGTAACCTGCTGGAGGCTAATGAGCAGGCTGTAACACCATAACAAATGCACAGCCTATGGAAGTTAGGCATATTCCATGAATTCTGTACCAGGGTGTGTTTGCTTAGGCAGGGCTTTCTTGGCTAAAACAGCAATGGGTGATTAACATGATAATAGGAAGAAGGCCATTCTCCATTGGCAGAAAGCTGACACAGCCAAGCATAGAAAAGGAAATAGTTTGGATTGGCTAGTTATCCCTAGGCAGCTCAAGAAAGTATCCTCCTGGAGTCCATTTGGAAATCAAGGCTGTTAATGGAAAAGCAGCTGGATTTCTGCAGCACTCTTTCTGGGGAATCTATTCTGGCAGACGAGCGCAGCACACGTACGTACACATGTCCTCTCAAACACACTGGCACACACATGCTGAGGGCTCCTGACTTCAAAACAAAACAAAACATAAAAAACCTTGAAAGAGCAAAATAGGATTGGGTAGTGACTGATTCATGTGGTCACACAGTCACCTTTAAAACTTGAAGCCTTCCTCTTCCTTAAAACTTCAAAGATAAGTTCTGTGCCTTATCCAATGCTTATCTCAGCTATGCGTTCCCTCAGTAACCAGCTACTGATCTTCAGCCTGACTCTATTTCAAACCTTCACAGTTATATTAAACATGGACAAATTATTCATTTTTTTAATTGATTTCGGTCCTTCTGCAAGCTACTTACTAACAGATCTGGAGACAGATGTCTTTGTTTACCCACAGACCCACTGCTAACTCCTCCACACCATTTCACAATCTTATAAAACACTCTGCTTGACATGAGGAGCCCTTGGCAGATTTCAGACTTCCTCTCTTGCTACCCTTAACCTCAGCTGAGACCTGTGCAGGCAGACAAGCAGCTTAAGCAAGGTGATGGCTCCTGTGACAGGACACCCCACTTGACTTGGAGGGAGGTTAATAAATGGCCTATACAGGTCTCAAAAGAACTATAGCTAGATTAGCACCCAAGTGTATATGCAAGAGGTAGAAGAGCTGATTTTTTGGCCCATTAATAACTGCCTTTAAAAGAATGTCCCAAAACATCCTTCTGTTATCAGTAAATGGTGAGCACTAGTTTTAATACAACTATAATTAGTTGTATTAATTGTGCTACCAAAATATGATCTACTATTATTTTTCTGCTTTATGAACATTACTAATGGATCAGTTCTCTTTTTATAAAGTTTTATCTTCATAAGTGGTGACAACAAAGGTGTCCACACTCTGAGGAGCTAACAGTCTAGGTGATGGCATCTAGGTGATAAAAGAGACCAGATGAGCAGGCCTTCAGCAGAGAGCTCATTCCCCACAAATGCAAGGTATTTAATTATAGTCTTGGCACACAATTGTGGTAATAACAACAGAGGGTTCTGTTTTCTTTTCTGAAGTATCTATTGTTCCCATGGGTTTTCCAGACTATCCTCCTTTAAATCTGGAAATAGTTTCCTGCTCTACAAAGAAAATATTCCTCCATTCAAGTGGATTTACAAGGGAAGAGAAGGGTTGTGGGGGAGAACAAAGACAAGGAACTGAGTCCAAGAAAGTGTGCAGGAGAAAAGAAACTGAATAAAGGAACACAATAGAGTTTATTCTTCCAACTTTCTATGCTACCTCCTTTGCTTCTTCACTCCAAATAACCTAGGTGGGCTAAAAATAGTAACACCATTCAAGATGAAAATGGAAGTCAAAACATTTACCACTATCAATGCTAAACAAGCATTTCTCATGATACCTGCGGTACAAAATAAAGATAAATCTGTGTAAGAGAAAGTGACTTGAAATGTGACTCTTTGCAGTATTAGGAAATGAAAAAATCTCAATACTAAACAATTAGTCATGTTTCTTAAGATATGCTCATTCCTCTAGAAGGCATGTGGAAATGAATTAATAAAGTGTATTCAAAACTGAAGCCCATAAACAAGAAAGATATTCAGAAAAACAGGGAAGCATCACCTATGATGAGATCTTAATGCCATATTAAAAAAACCTTGAACTATACTTGTGTCAGGTATTGGAATAATACAATTACATGTGATGTTAATGTGAAAGAACACTTTCGGTCCTATCCAAACAGAATAGCTCACAGAAAACTGTATGAATGAAACAAAAATGGATGTTGGAAGAATCTTTTACTACTAAGATGTATTTTATTTATTCCCCTTAGTGATGTCTTTTGCAGAACATCATTGACTTGTCTTAAAACTCCTAAAAAAAAAATCCTCCAAAGAGGATGTTGTCATGAACACACTGCAAAAACTATGCCTGCCTGGAAATCCATCTTGTTGATCAACATGAATGGATCCTAGGCAGGCATCCTAGAAACAAGAATGATCAATTTACAGGTTTTCTTCCTGTTTGTTTGCCATATTAAAAATGTGAGAAAGACAGAATACAGCATGATTTTCAAGGGTTATGTGCTTTCTTTCATTCTTATGGATCAAAAAAAACCAAGCCTGACAAGCAATTCTGAATATTTTTTCAATGCTCCTCTAGCTGTCTCCTACTGATCTTCAGAATAAAACCTTAAATAATTTAATAGTAAAAAAAATATATATATAACAAAATAATCATACTTCATTTGTGATGCTATATACACTTGCATATACACACAAACTTAAATACCTCCAGTAAAAAGGAATTGTTCAGTTTCTCCTGTTCTGTTTTTCTTCCCAGATACAGGGCTAATATTTATTTTCTCCCTTTCTTTCACATTGGGGTTAAATCTTCATTTAAGTTTTGGGGTTTTTTTTCCTGAAATTCCTTTAGGTTTCCAGACTCACCTCTTCTATCGAAAAGTAAGTAACAGCCGATGGAGCAACTTCTGACATAGAAAAAAGTTACAGATTTTATATGTTATTATTGTCTCTTCCATTTGCTTGGATTTCATTCTATTTATTCTTATTTACTTTGAAATATATACCCATTACTCAAAAATCTAATCCACCTGTATGATCCTTCTGACTGCACTTGTCCTAATCTTCAACTGTTTCTATTTAAGAAAGAAAAATAAATAAAGTGTTCAAAAATGACATGTAGAAATACTTAAGAGTTGGAGAGAAGTAGATGTTCCTGAGCATGTGCAGATCACTCTACATGCACTGTGCACTACAGATTGCTCAATTAAAGAGGTATTTTACCTGTATGCAGCACACTAACAAGATGACAAGAGTGTTAAGTAAACACTGTTCTTGAATGCAGAGATGTATCACCATTTAAAAGCCAGTATAATTCTTTGAAAATCCCTCTACTAGACAAACACAAAGCACACTCATTGCCTTCAGAACCCTGAGTGAAACACCAACAGTCTTCTAGTGAACGGATAACAGATTCAGGTCTTGTACCTATAATGAAGGGTAAGATAAAGAATTATTCCTAATAACAATACATATATTCCTGGGATGCTTATCTCTGTGCAGGCCACAGAAACCAGCAAGGTACCATTTGCCATCATCACAAATGTTGATTTTTCATTATCTTCTACAAAGAAACTCAGAACTTCACTCATGGGATGAAATTCAAAGCATTTACCTTATTGAAGAACTTAAAATTTTCCCCTGAGAGAACAAGTATGGAAGCTGTCACTGAAAAGAAAGAGTTAAAGCAAGAAATAAGACAGAAAATGGCAATGTGTTCTGCCAGCTGATAGGAAGGGAAATGTAATTCCACAGGTGCAGAAATACAAATTAGTCCTATCTAATAGAACAGAGGTATTTTTCAAGAATTTACAAGAAAATAAAGTCCTAAGGAGGAAGAAGGACAATGACCTAGGCTGACCTAGGTATCACACCAAAGGTGGGGTATTTCCATTCCTCGTTCTTCTGCAAAATTATTTTTGTGTGCCTGGAGACTTAGTCACACCCAAAGGGAAAAATACCCAGTGGTTTCACTGAAAGAGAGAAGACAAGAAAAGAAATCAAACGATCTGTGGGATTGCCTCAGGAGAATGGACTGAGGCATGGCCATGCCCAGCCCAGCTCAGCTGGATGCTGCTGCCCCACGGATGCTGCTGCCCCACATGGAGCAGGGATAAAAACTCCTGCCAGGGACACAACCTCCCTTGGAGGCAGCTCAGCCCACATCCTCAGGACATACTTAAGGCCTTCTCTTACTTACTGAGCCCCTGGTGTTCTAGTTGAATGGATGGTATTTTCAGGTGCTTTTTTTTTTCCAGTAAGATGTGTTTGTGGGTGCTTTAATTAGCAGATTGACATAAACAGGCATCTACAGCTGGAATTATTCATTAGTAGTTGGGTGCCTAATTTCCTTAGATACTTTTGAAAATCTCACCCCATCATGTTTAATTAAAAATGTCAGATGATATCAATACTCAGATGTGTCTGCTGTTGGTCTCCTGAGAAGATTTCCAAAATCCACTTCTCATTCCATCTGTTCCTGACAGAGGAAGGACTGACTTGGCCCAAGCTTGAACCAAAAACGTCAACAAATAATTTAAAAAGACTATAAACTGCAAATGATATTAATCTCCTGAGTAGGCTTCTGGAACCTTACTTGGATCTGCATGTTCCTGAGTAACTTATAAGCTAAGAAATAGGAAAGCGGGCTATCTGCAAAAAGTCAAGAACAGCACACTTTTATGTAATCTGCATTAGACAATGTCCAGATTTGCTAAGAAACTACTTATCCCCTACCAGCTCCTACAAAAGGGCCATGAAGCAGGGTCTTTTAAAATCACACACACACACACAAACAAGCTCACACAAATGCATACAGACCTCCAAGTAACCTCAAAACATTCACTCTGATAGACGTTCCTAGGGACAAGCTCTTTAGCACAGAAGTTTGGTTCAGGTGAGAATTTGGGGGATAGGATGGAGTTCAGTATTTTTTCCCTCACAAGTTCCTATATCCTCCTGTTCATTATTATTTTCCTGGTAAGAAATAATCTCATTCCTCAAATATGACAGATTAGATTTTTTTATTGTTTTGTGTACTCAGTATCTCCATTTTTCATTAAACTACCCCTAAACTAGCTTCTCCAGATTTGCCAGTTCAGTAGAATCAGAATTCATGGACAAACTGAATCCCCAGTGCCCAAGAGTCCCAGCTCTCTGTTGGTAAATCCAGGGCAATTCTGTGGTAAAAAAATCAGATGTGCTGCTACTAGGAATAAAGATGCCTGAGAGGCTGAGCAACTTCTGATTGTTCTATGTGAATTACTCTACCCTTCCTCCTGTTTTGCTGAGATTTTTTTAGTAGCACAAGTGATTCGATAAAGTGACAATTAAAAAAAAAAAAAGAAGTAATATCAGATCAGTTCTCACATTGAAGGTCTACATTTTATCCCTCAGACACTTTAAAGTTCAGCTGTACTTACTCTGGGAACAGGGGACGTCTGGGTACCTTTCCTTTGGCCACTGGTCTCGGGTGTCAGGTCTCGGTGGTCTACCTGAATGTGGCTCTCTAAGTCTTCAGCACTTTCAAATTTGACACTACACTCCGGACACCTCAGGCTGCCACACGGCCTCTCGTTCACCTCCTGTGGAGTCAAGCTTGAGGACTGTCCATTGGTGCTCCTGGTCATGCATCCAGCACACAGGCCATAGGGAAGGCCGTTCACATCCAACTTTACCAAGTCCTGCTTATTCCGGAACTCCTTCAAGCACAGCGCACACTTGTAGAGTTTTTGCAAGGCCTGGCCGTTAGGCGATGAGGTTGCAGAGTTTCCTGCCAATTTCTGCATATGGAACGTCCCATGAATTTTCAGCTCCAGGGTAGAGGTGACCGTCTGCATGCAGACAACACAGCGAAACCCTGTGAGGGAATTCCTGAGATCTGGATGCATCTGGCAGTGCTCGATGAATTCCTCCTCGCTCTGCAGTGGCATTTTGCAGATCCGACACGTCCCTGTATCCAAACTCTTGCTGTGAGTGACTTTGTGCTCCGTCAGGGTCAGGAGCGATGGGAAGCGTTCCCCGCAGATGGGGCACATGTAATGCTTAGCTGGGCCTCGATGGGTCTGCATGTGCTCTCTCAGGCCATTTTCTGAGAAAAAGGTCCTTGAGCAGATATTACACTTGTGGCTACCTTTGATGAATTCTGCTTTCTTCCTAGAACAGTCATCCTCCCCAGGCCTGATGTTATGATCCCTCAAACGATGGTTCTGCAAGAGAACCTCCATAGTGTAGGCAGCCCCACAAATGTCACAGCCGTACATGGGCTCAGAAGCATCCACATCGTCCTCACTGGCTTCATGACTGTTGGAAGTATCCGGATTCTTCATTAACATATTCTGGATATCTGCCCCTTCTGTCTTCTTACTTGTTGGGGTCATGCCATTAGCTGTACCATTCTCAGCGCTAGCATCAAAAACACAATGCTTTTCCCGCAAGTGCTTTTCAAGCAAGATGATGGCATGAAAAGCTTTGCTACAAAACTTGCAGTTGTATTTTTTGCTGTGGGTTGTGATGTGGCACTGCAGTTCTACCTCTGTGCTGAAGGTCTCACCACAGAAGATACATTTGTGAGACTTTGATGGATTACCCAAGTGACTATGCTTCACATGGATCTGGAGATCCACCTCCTTCCTAAAATCCCAGTTACAGGCTGTGCAACGATACATCTTCTTTTCATTGCTATGCTTGACTGCCAGATGCACTTGGATAGATACCTTGGAATCAAAAACTTCTTGGCAAAGGGTGCAGTGATACAACACAAAAGTATGCATATCCAACAAATGCTTCTGCAAATCATCCACTGAAGAAAACTGTTTGTCACAGCTCTCACATACATAATGAGTGGAAGTTGTCATGTAATGTACAGTGAGATGTTGCAGAAGAGACTCCTGGGAATCAAAGTCTTCTTTACACTGAGGGCAAGACTGTTTCCTCAACAGCAGCTCCAAATGCAACTTTAAATGGGTCTGAAAACTTTCAAAATTTGAGAACTTTAGATCACACTGATTACATGGGTATTCACCATTAGACACCGAGTTTACGCTTGCAGAAAGCCGCTGCCTTTTAGGGGAAGAGACTTCAACATCAGAAGAAACTGGACTCTGCTCTGCTTTTGACTTCTTATTGTGTGCCAGAGGAATGTTCTTGTGGTTTTCTTTAATATGCTTTGTAAGCTTCAGGATGGAGCCAAAAATGGGAGAGTTTGTGCAATAAGGGCATGAATAAACTTCCATAAAAGACTGTGTTGGCTGAATGACAGGGGAATCCAATTTTGAATTTCCTACATTGCAGTGAGTCTGCTGGATGTGCTCAGTCAAGGTAGCTTCGGTCAGAAAGCCCATGGAGCACTGGTTACAGAAGAAAGCATTGTTGCCATCTTGAGGGGTAGCGTTTGGGCCGCAGTGAGTAATGCGGATGTGTTCCTGCAAGCTATTGATATCTGCAAACATCTCTGGGCAGTAATTACAATGAAAGGCAGAAATGTTGCTAAACTGCATCATGGGATAGGCATGGTTTTTGTGCACTTTTCTGACGTGTTCATTTAAGTTGTACAGTGTAGGCATGGAATCAAGGCAGATCTGGCACGTGTGGCTTTGCTGAGGTTTGTCTGCATGAATGGTCTTCAGATGGATCTCCAGAACAGCAAGGCTGTTGAAGTCACGCTTCGAGCAGTAGGGGCAGCTGTAAGTAACTTTAGACCAGTTCTGGCCTTCCTCTCTGTCAACAGACCTGGTTTTCTTTTGTCCTCTCAAAGGCTTTAAGGTCGAATCTGGAGTGGAACCTCTTTCCACCGATGCGCTGGAGTCCGGCGTTGCGCTGCTCATGGATGCCACACTCCCCAGGACTGGGTCAGGGCTGATGCTGTGGTTGCTGGAGTCAGGTTGTCTGTGGCTGTCCAAGTGGCAATAGACTTCCTCCACTGAAGAAAACTGCTCTGGGCACATAGGGCACTTATGTTTCTTGTTGGCATGGGCTTGATGAATGTGTGAGAGCAGCGAGTTTTCATCTACAAATACTTCAGGGCAATGAATACACTGCAAATCTGCCTTCTCGGAAAGCTGTGGGTGGCGCGTCATTACGTGCTTCTCCAAATCTTCAGTCTGACTGAATGTCTCTTCACAGTAATCACACATAAAATCATCCTTCTTCACCTCTTTCTCAGTCTTTGCCATATGTTCCTTGTTCTTTTTATGAGCTTGCATGTGACTCTGCAATGAGCTGGTAGATGAAAACCCACGTTTACACACAGTACACTTGAATGGTTTGCTGGAGCTGTGGGTTTTCAGGTGGATTTTGAGGTGGTCGCTGCGGGAGAATGCAGCCTCGCATTCGTGGCAGTGGTACTTTTTATCCCCCGTGTGAAGCTTTATGTGACGATCCCTACTCCTCTTGTGCTTAAAAAGCCGGCTACAGTAGGTGCATTTGAAAGGTAGTTTGTCACTGTGGATCTGCTCGTGCCTTTTAAGGTAGCTCAGGCGAATGAAGGACTTATCACAAAACTGACAGGGATACGGCAGGCCAGTCCCCCCTTCCTCCTCCCCGATGCCAAGATCACACCCATCTCCTATCATCTGAGTGGGTGATGCAACATCTTTGCTGGAGGGAGATGAAGCCACCCAGGAGAGTTGTGGGTCGTCATCACCATCTGTAATGGGAAAGCAGAAAGGAGATTAAAAACAATTCCCAGTGCATCTGTGAAATAAGGACAAAGCTCTCAACAACACTATGGGCTTCTGCTACTACAGCATTAAAAAAAAATCAACTCAAAAAAAAACCCCAATAAACCCTCTTGTACTTGAAAGGAGGTTTGAGGAAGAGAAATAAAAATATATTTGTACACATAATTCACAAATATGCCAACACATAGTGTTAATAAAAAGCGTTTTTCTTTAGCAGGTTTAACACCTGCTCACTGTACTGTAAAGCAATAAACAATGAATAAAGAAAGCGAAACACAATGTGCAATGAAGCAATACAAACACTTCGGAAAGCTACAGTGTTAAGTGATCACCTGTGAATTTGTGGGTCTGTTAAATGCTACATCAAGATGATTTTAAGTAATGTCTCCATTAAAAAAATCTTTCCGTTCTGTCTCAAAACTGTAACAGAATGAAAGGCTGCTCAAAGGCAGAGTTGAACATCTAGGTGGAATAAAAGCATCAGATTTGAGAGAGCTCAAGAAAATCAGAGAAGAGATCTGCACCATTACCATGTTTGCTTTTATAAAAGATAATGTTGCCCTCTTAGTACAAAATCCAACTACTTTTCTTTAAAGCCCAGGAAAATCACCACTGGAGATCTCAAGACATCACAAAAGAATCAAGTTCAGGATAAACCAAAAGTGGCTTAGCCTCTGTTTTAATAACTATTTCCTATACTCAGTATGAAGCTTTGAAAAATATTTTCTAATTCCATATTACCATAAAGAAACACAGCACCAACTCCAGCAGCCCCACAGTCATTTTAGGAAAAATACATAAAATGTTGTCAGCTTTCATTAACAGAATTGTTAACAAGAAACAGAAGAGAGTGAGTTCAAATATCCTAATTCCAACAAATGCAGAGATGTTGAGCGAAACATAAATGCCACTAGTCTGATATCAAACTAAACCACAGAACGAAGCAAAAATAAAGTTCATGTAAATGATGGAAGGCACTGACCACACAAACATTTGGAGATTCCAAAAAGGAGCCAGTTCTCAAGATACACCGTCCTTATAAAACATTTAATGTTCCTACTTCAGTTTTTACTAAAACAAACCAATAAAACAATCCCCGGCTGTGTGTGTAGGCTGCCACACGCACACCCCTCGTGCCTGCCAACTGCAGAGTCACCAGGCGGAGAAGGCACAAGAAGGGCGAGGAGCTCCCGAAGAAGGGCTCGGCTACTGAGGGCATCACCACCGTACCAGGCAGCTCCCGCAGCACCGTCTGCTCGGGCAAGCACCTGCTCTTTCAGCCCAGGTAGAGAGAGAGCAGCGACCTTGGAAAGAACTAAACCAAATAAGCACACCCCAAACAACTTTTCCCACACGATGGGGATGTCTGTTTTCCGGGTCAGGCGTGCTCTCCGGAGAGCTCTGCTCCCTCGTTTAACTACAGCTCCTGCTCCGGAGCGATGCTGGACACCGAGAAGCTGCTTCTTCCTGCTCCCGAAATGCACCTCGACTCTCAGCGAGCATCCGCGCTCCTGAGACTCTCAAGGTCTTTGCGCTCAACTGGCTCCTCCAAATCTAGCGGAGCCCAAGCCTAAAACACGGACAACGAGCTCCTGATTTTTATGTAAACTTTTCTCAGGCTTCACTCCCCCGACCACGAACGGCTCTCTCTCTGCAGCTGCAACAAAGCCTCATGTTCCCAATTTAAGCCACCTCCGCCGCCCACCCCGCTGCCAGCACAGCTTTGCGGAGCCCCCGGGGAGCCCCCAGCCCCCGCCACCCCCAGCTCCGCCGCCAGCCGGATCCGGGGCTCCGTCCCCACGGACCTGCGGCCACGGGCCGTCGGAGGGAAGAGGCAGCCGGCTGCCAGCGCCAGGATTAGGGGCCCCGGGGAGGTGCCGGTAGCTCAGGGCTGCCTAATTCCCTCCTCTCACCAGCTGGGCTCCTCCAGGGGCAAGGAGACAAAGGGGAGCACGAGGGGGATGCTGGGCCTGAACTAGGGCAGCACATGTTGCGTTTGTGCTGCTGCTGCTGTCTACGGAGAGGGGGAGAGAGGAGAAAAACAACAAGAGAAAAAACACCCCACATTTGCTAGTTACTGCTCGGGCTTACTGGCTGCAATTATAATAATTTCGTATCTCTCTCTGCAGAAATGTTTGTAGAAACACGTGCATTTGAAATACCCCCGTCTCGCAGTCGGGCTGCCCGTGCCCTGAGCGGAGCGGCGGCACGCACAGGAAGGGCTGCGCCGAGAGAAGCCCGAGCTCCGCAAACCCGCCACCGAATAAAGCGCCATTGTTCGGCTCGGAAACCTGAGATGCCACGGGCCAAATCCAGTGGTAACACAGCCTGGGCCAACGGCTTTAACTTCCTTACATTCATATGCACCTATGCCAACCATTACATTGGCCCACCGCACAAACTGAACACATCTCTAGAAAGTCTTTCCTCTGAAATGAACAGATCTACCTCAAAACACAGTCTAACATTCACATAGAGCCAGTTCCCCTCCAGCTGCTGCTCTTCAAACACATTGGGCTATTCAGAAAATAAAATCAAAGAAAGCTGGTATTAGTATTACTTTGTGAGTGAAGCACAAAGCTTTCCGCTAATATAATTTGGATTTTTAAAAAACAACATTTCTCAAGTTGGAAAGCTGGATTTGTCATAAAATTGAGTTGTTTACATAGAACACAAATATTATCTCCCTTTGTTAGCTTCAGTTGGACCTTTTACCAATTTTCATGTTTAATTTCTAGATTCTTGGTATTCCTGCATTTTCTCATATTTTTACAGTTTAAAAAATATTTTAGAAGAAACTTTAAGCATCAGAAACAACCCACCTGGATTTCTTACGAACAAGATACTAAATTACTGAACACCTAAACTGAAGAAATTAGGGAAAACTCATTATCATTAATCTCTTTATGGAATGAATGGATGAATAATAGCCCTGTTAATTTTAACTTGCCATATTAAATTGAAGAAAAGACCTGTAATGAACTGAGGAGAAAATTCTAAGGTATTTTACCACAGTAATATTTTAGTGGGAAGACATATTTTAGATGTAGTATGACATGTCTGGCAAAGATGGTTAGAATAATAATTCTACATTAATGCAATCAAAGGAATGTAGCAGAATGAGAAAAATCACTTTCAAAAAGGAGATTAAAGTCATTAAAATGGCTAATCCTGCAAAGTGGGACTGTTCTAAAATAGAGAATCACATGGCTGGTTCAAGGCTTTTGTCATTTGCGCGTAAGAGAATCAAAACAAGTATTAAAAGGGTAAGAAAATTCAATAAAAAGTTTAATTAGGAAAAAAAGAGCATTAAGGAAGCTTCAGGATGTCAGTAGTCCTCAGGATATATGTGCAGGTCATGAAGCTTAAAGGGCCATTCTTGATAATCAATCTCAAAGTGGTACAGTAATTTAGCAACTTAATGTTCAGCACGTTTACAGGACTGCAAGCATTTATCATCATCAGTGAGGAGCTAATTCCAGCCTCAATGCATTCAATAAATGTATTTTTCCTTCTAAGAAGAACAATTTGGCCAAAATGTAGTATAAATCATACTTCGTTCTCTATTTATCTTCCAGATAACACAAGCCAAGTTCAGAGACATATTCATGAAGCTAAAACAATAAAATGAAGCCTTAAAAAGATGTGATCTCTCTTAGAAGGGAGACAAATGGCTCATCACAGATTGCCAGGAGTAAGCAGCACTGCCATCTCAGCATACACTGCTGACATTGATATATTTATTATTCCAGAGTTATTTTGCTAATAGAAATATAGTCAACCAGACACAATTTCACAGTTCCTGCAAACACCTTCCCATCTCCCTACCTGTTTACAGGTAACTGGAAACAGTTTGCTTCTGCTGAACTTTGAGCAGAGCTTAATTTTCTTGCTCAGCTCCCCAGTCACCCAGCCCTGGGGGCCACATTCCTGGGTAGGAACTGCACAAACCCAGGCTAGCCCCAGCTGGTTCCTTTTCCTTTCAAGAACAAAACACATGCACAGATATCACATTTGCTGGTCTGGATCTGAAGCTCGTCCTTGCCTAAAGCTCTTGTTCACCAGCAGAGTATCATCAGGTCCCCCTCCACTGAAAAATCTCCCTACTCTGCCTCTCCTACGTGTGAGGAGCTCAGGGGGCTCTTCCACAGCGCCTCTGTTCATCCCTCCACACCAGGGATGTGCCTGGAGGACACACTGCAGTGTGGCCTCTGCAGTACTGCAGGCCAGTTCTTCCAGTGCCACCAGCACACACTGAGCACCATGGGCTCAGGAGAGCCTGCACAACCAGCCCCAGGCATCAGAAAAATCCAGGGGCCACCCAAAGGAACATCTCTAAGACTCCCCTCCTGAGCCCAGAAGGCATCTCCATATGGGACAATAAACCAAGGAGGTCAGATTTAGAATGGGATCTTATTCTATCAGGTTTATTTCTCTAGCACAAAGCTAGTACACTGGAGAAATACTTAAATTAACAAACACAAAACTCCAAAATTGATTGTTGAAGGAAGGATTGCTGTTTAAGCTCAGGCTTCTGGTTCTCTCTGAGTCCCTCCATGATACACAAGTTAAAGACAGTCAAAGCACTGAAAATGCTTTAAGCTGTTGAAAGCTGATGGAATTATAGCACCCAAAACAGTAACTTTTGAAAACAAGCTTGGCATCGTAAGCCACGCTTCTGAACTGTGCTTTAGTTCCTCATCTCCATAATAGCAAAAAGCCATCTGCTTCTCAAGGGCAAATTGTAGGGCTTACTTCTGTATTGCTGTGAAAACCCCGAGACATCCCCAGATGGAAAGTCCAATAGAAATGCTATCAATTTCAATTATTATTATTATTATTATTGCAGATGCTTAACTATGAGAATAAAACACAGAGATTGAGGACTGACAAATCCTCAGTACTGGTTACAACAAATTTTGCAGTGCATTATATATTAATATATATGTATTAAAGCCAAGGATAG